GTGGATATAGCTCGCACACTGAGGACCTATCCACGTCATCATTTACCCAGAATGCTTTGTGTGTAAATAAAATGACCTCGTCTGTGTTAAATATATTTTTAAACTTTTAGTTTAAAAATGATAAAAACTGAACATCCTACAGTATTTTTACAGTCTTTATTTTACAATTAAAATAAATGTTTATCAAATAAAGTCTAATGTTACAACTAATCCTGGATCCCTTTAAATCCACTCAGTCAGGCACCACTGGTATAAACTGGGAACAGGACTAATCCCTCGTTAACTTTTACAATAATCACCAGTAAATCTTCTAAATGAGCAGGCAGCATGATGGGACTTTATTCATGTCTCTGAGGTTGACTGACTGATATTTAACACATCTTGTTTAGTGCAATGGTCAAAGCCTTCAGCCAATGAGAATGCACAGAACATGATGCACCCTTTAGGCCTGTTTCCAGACAAAAAATTATTTTCATTATTTTCTTTCTCATTCTTTTCTTCTCGTCTTTAGAGGAAGAGTTGGAAGTAAAGAGACCGGAGACAGACGAAACAATGTTCAAATGAAAAATCATACATTAGTTTTACTTGGTTTCAGTGAAAGACGAGCTAACAGTGTTAGCATTGATCCATGCAGTGATCTGCAGAGTAAAACTGAAAGGTGACAGATTGTGATGTATGGATGTTAGGTTATTATCTGCAGCTGAGCTTAAAAACTTTTTTTTTCTGTCCATTTTCTGAGACGTGACGGATTGTTGTCACTGGGCAGGACTTGGTCCAGAAATCACTCCTAACTTATTTTTTCTTGCATCTCAGAAAAGTTTTAGGTGGAAACTGGAGCTGCAACAATCCATGTATCAGTATGGAGCTGTTCAGTACACAGCTTTAGGTTCAATACACACAATGTAAGGAACAATACAGATTTAAGGTTTATTTTATCAACTTGTCTTCTGAAGATCCTCTGTGTTGAAGGATCAGTGGATCTGTGTTCGACTACTCCACCTAGACTGCGTTGTCGAGCCCAGATCCACTCAGAAACTTGCTGTTTCAGCAACATTTCAAAAACTGTGCTTTAAGGTTAAACAAATGTTCATCATTAATTTTAATCAATTCCAAGTTAAGAAGAGCATGGACATTTCTGTTTTTGTGTGGAAAAAATATCAAACAGAGAATAAATCATCAAACCAAACTGTGAATTTTCTGTATCACTGCGAGCCTGGTGGAAACATCTTTCTAAATACAGTCTGCACTTCTCAAAACACATCTTTCCTGCTGTTACTCTGGTTTTTAACCTGTTTTCATTTGATTGTGTTGAAGTTTAGTGTTTTCATTGGAAAAACCTTCTGATAATTGGAGCTAAACACAGCAGTGCAGGTCAGAGTGAAACATTTTCACTTTGCGTCAGAGGCTTGTTTTTTCCACTCTTGTTGTTCGTGTTATTGTGATAAAAAGGATCATAAAGTTGATTTATGCATCCTGACCTGTGTGTGAGTTCAGGTGTTGACTGCTGATTTGGAGAAACAAGCTGCTGAGCTGCAGGAGGAGGAGCTTCCTGTTGCCACGCCCATCATCAACATTCCTCATATCAGTGTGAGGTAGAGCCTGTGTGCAGCAGTGGCTTGTTGTTATTTACACCTGAGGAACTGTTAAAGATAAAAGAAGACTTTCTTTGTTCGGATCACCTGCAGGCTGTATAACTACGAGCCGATGACTCCTCTGCGGACGTTGCGAGCCAGCGTGTTCGGCCGGCTGGTTTCTGTGAAGGGAACTGTGGTCAGAGTGAGCAACATCAGACCTCTGTGCACCAGGATGGCCTTCAGGTGCCAGAGCTGCAGCCATACGCTGTCTCTAACGCTGCAGCATGGAAAATACGCTACGCCCACCAAAGTATGGACACAAAACACACCAACATGTGCAGCGTTAACTAAATATTTTACAACCACTGGACAGATGAGACAAATTCAGGATTATTTCTGCAGCTCAGTGACCCAACAGAGACGGAGCTGATGCTGTACGAGCTGAGGTCGGGTCTAACACCAGTTCTTCTGAGATGCATCAGAAAGTTAATTTTAGGTGTAAATTCTGATGATGTGCATCCGTTCAGGGCCTGTTTATTGCTTGATGATTTTAATGAATCAGGAAACCAACAGCAGGCTTTAAACCAGCAGACTGGTCCCACAAAGGAATGTCTGCAGCTTCCAGTAATTCTGTTCTCTGTGAAGTTAGGAGCTGAGGTTTTATAAAACTGATCAGAATAAAGGTTTAAGTCCTGCAGCCGTTCTTTTTATCAAAGTGTTTCTGTTTGTTTCACTAAGTGCGTCCAGCCTGGATGTCGCAGTCGTTCCTTCACCCCCGTCCGCAGTTCTCCCCTCACACAGACTGTGGACTGGCAGATCATCAAGTAAGTGGGATCACTTCATGAGAGTGCAACAACTTGTAAATATCTAGAAGAGTGTTGGGCCACATCGGCAGAAATATTAACCATGATTATTGTGATGTTTAACCAATAATGGACAGTTTCTCTGTGTTCAAATATTATATTTACAAATCCTCACTCAAACTAAATTCTCTAATTTACCAGTTCAAAGCAAGCTGTGAAATGAAACCCAGCTTTTCCATAATGTGGAGTGGCAGCAGATGTTTAGTAAAGCAACATGCCACAGCCCACCCCCGTTATCTCCTTCCTGCTCTTATCTGCTGACTGAGAGCATCGTGGATTTTCACTGTCGTTCCATCGTTCTCTGGAGGACAGTTTGATGAAGCCTCTGTCTGTTTTTTATATGGTTTTGCTTGTTGTTCAGTTTATGTCAGGGTTTCAGGTGATTAAACAAGTTAGCATTGTTAGCAGTGTTAGCATTAGCCTTCCACCGTGCACACTTAATAAGAGACGGTGTGTGGCAAAAACACAAATATGTCCTCATCACGCAGCACTAACAGCAGTTCAGTCTTAATCATTGACAGTTCTGGTGATTAACGTGATATGATTTTATCTAACTCTAATCTTAAAGGGATCCATCAGTTGTAACATTAGACTTTATTTAATAAACACATATTTTAACTGTAAAATAAAGACTGTAAAAATACTGTAGGCTGTTCAGTTTTTATCATTTTTAAACTAAAAGTTTAAAAATATATTTTAACACAGACGGAGCCATTTTATTTACACACAAAGTATTCTGGGTAAACGACGATGTGGATAGGTCCTCGGTGCGAGGCTGCTAGCGAGCTATATCCACCCTGAAGGTTAATCTTGGACAATATCTGATGATCGACTCTTTTAAATGAAACCAGAGAGCGTTGACAGAGAGGAGAAGGTAGAAATGACTCAGCCTGGAACTGAAAATATGGATGGAGGACAACAGAGCTGCTTCATGGAAGAACAACCTCAGCTTAGTCTGTTAGTTTGTTGTGCTAGCGCCGAGCTAATACATATAAGGCAATATAGCGTCAGCGCTAAAGCTAACAGGCTAATCTGAGGTTCTTCCTCCATGAAGCAGCTCTGTTGTCCTCCATCCATATTTTCAGTTCCAGGCTGAGTCATTTCTACCTTCTCCTCTCTGTCAACGCTCTCTGGTTTCATTTAAAAGAGTCGATCATCAGATATTGTCCAAGATTAACCTTCAGGGTGGATATAGCTCGCTAGCAGCCTCGCACCGAGGACCTATCCACGTCATCATTTACCCAGAATGCTTTGTGCGTAAATAAAATGGCTCCATCCATGTTAAAATATATTTTTAAAAGTTTATTGAAATTGAACAGCCTACAGTATTTTTAGTCTTTATTTTACAATTAAAATAAATGTTTTTCAAATAAAGTCTAATGTTACAACTAATCATGGATCCCTTTAAAATACGACCAGTTAAATGATTTTTCGGTGAAAATGTGTTTGGTTGAGATTGACTGAGACTGTAACGTCTCTGCAACAACAAAAATAATCTAAATGCAAACTGTAAACTCAGCATGAGCTGGTGACTCTGGACTGTATGACATGGTGCAGTATGTAAGTTTGTCTACAGATCTATGGATCTGCAGTTCTGAAATGTGAAAATCTTACGAAGCTGTTGCTGCCTCAGGGTGCAGGAGCTGATGGGAGGAGAGCAAAGAGAGACGGGACGAATCCCGCGCACCGTGGAGTGTCACCTGACCTCTGACCTCTGTGACAGCTGCGTCCCAGGAGACACGGTCACTGTGACGGGGATAGTCCGAGTCATCAACGACGGTACGAACACAAAAACAACACACACATTCAAACACAGTCTTCTCCACAACAGTCAGGAACAGGGCTGCAACTAACGATTCACTTTGAATAAGCAATTAACTGGACGATTTATTCATTTTTCAGTTAATCAGAAAAAAATAACTATTAATTTCAAGCTGCTTATTCCTAAATAAAACATTTGGACCGACAGCAAATCACACAAAAACAGGTTTTGCTGTTTGAGTATTTTGTAGGGCTGCAACAACAAATCGATAAAACTGATAAAAATCGGTTATTAAAAGCGTTGGCAACGAATTTCATTATTGATTCATTGTGTCATGTGATTCATGTAGGGGTAGACATGAGGATATTTTTCTGTTGACAAAACCTGGTTGTCTGCAAAAAGTTTTGTTTGTCCAAAAGAATCTCAAGAAAAATATAATTTAACAAGTATATTGTTGTGTAAACACAGTTTATTGTATATAATTGTTCTCAGTCAGCCAGGTTGACAGGATCTGTGTGAATAAAACTTCCTCATTCTCTTCTTTGAAATAGAGTATTTAAGGCTCAGGGAGTAAAGCAGAAAAAATGTTGCTAATAAAATCTAGAGGTTACCCAACATTCATAAACTTCTTTCAGCTCAGAAGTCAAACATTTCCACTTAAATAGGAGTACACTGTGTACATAACTTTATTAAAAGTTACAGTTTAGTGTTCTGTTAGATTTTACCAAGTTTTATCTCCCTTTCATTTTTACAAATGACGAACACCCGCGGCAGAGAACTTTAATCAAGGTCTTTTATTCTTGGTTGTCCGATGAACAACCAGGAGACAGGATTTGGATGTCCAAAAAGAAAATAGGTTCTCTCAGACAACCTAAACAATGGTTTTGTCTACCCCTGTTTGTGCGTCCCTCACCGTGTCGCAGAGCCGTTTACGTTACCCACAGAGCGTTGTCAATGCTGGCTGACCTYAATAAAGTTTAGGAAGAATAAAAAAAATACCTGTAAATGCCCACCCTCTCTGACTCTGAGTGAAAAGTAGAGACTTCGAACGTTAAAGCAGTTTTTAAATTGTGTTGTTGGACCAAGAAGATCCGAAGATATGATAAAAAGTGTACGACACGTTTAATTTATTTATTAAACGGTCTGATTTGATGCGAGCCGCGTCGTCGCGAGGAGGAAAC